GTAATCTTCTGGCATAGTGATCTGTGGCCATTTAATGGGAGAAGTATCTTTTAAATACTTCTCAAACAAATAATTATATTTTTCCTGAGAGGAACTTCCAAAAACATCAACCAAGTTAATTGAAAAACTACACAGACAGTATAAAAGATGAGTGAGTGCACCTTGGCATACTAGGGATATAGTTTCATTTGAGATCTAAAATTCTGTGAAATTTATAAGACTGGAAGTACGTGATAAGTGAGGATGAAATAAATAGTGCCTGCAGTGCTGTTGTAGGGTTTCAAGGTTTACAGGGTCATTTTTCTTGCTTCTAGAATGCTTGCTTATTAGCTTATTAGCAAGAACCTTCCATTCAAAGAAACTTTGGGACAGTTTTTGTAAAGAAACTGACTTAGCTGAATCTGTGCTTTCTTGTTTGGGATGAATAGGGTAATGTGGTTTTTGTCAGCTATTGATTGTAGCTTTCTGATTCCAGTAGACACTGCTGTGTATTTTTGCTTATCTAGTATTTTCAAGGTTGCTGGTCCACAGACCATCTGTGATGTCTTTATGCTATTTTTTTCAAATCTGTTCTTCCAAATGCAGAAGGATAATTGGATATATTCTGTCCTCATAGCAGTCATGGGTGCTACATCTTTTCCTTCTTTATAGATGTTGGCATAGGTGTGAAAACGCCAGGGACAGACTGAAAGGTGTGGTAGGTGTTAGGCTTTGTGATTCTTCTGAGTGACAATACATAGACAGCAATGCATTTATAAAACCAAAGGCCCACAGAACCTGACTAAGTCACAGAAAACTCACAGACAACTCTGCTATCATGGTAATAAACCTGCTGACAAAATGAAGGATGCTGGCCTTTCTTGTCATGGAACACCATGGTTGTATTGATATATGATATCACTTGGTGGAGACAAACATTATATATGCTGTTTCATGTATATCTATCACCAAAGCAACAAATTCTTTACAAAGAGAGTGTCTGTGTTTAGCAACCCTAGTAATGTGAGCTGAGACTTTATCTTTGAAATCAAAACCATTCTTAAAACAGAAAATGCAATCTGGGACATTGAGCTTGGTATATCAGCCAAAACTAAGGTCATGAAACCTGTCACAGGCTTCTGATTATTGAGGAAAAATGGCTAATTTTCTTTCTCTGTCAGAGAAAAAGAATTATTTAAGTTCTACAGTGTTTAAGATAGAAACAGCTTTGCTTGTGGAAGTACAGTACCTTGTGCAGTTAATCCCTGATGCTTTTTCCTACAGTACTCCAGAGGCTTTGATCTCCTCTTATTTCATGAGCCTGTTCCAACAGGGTGTCTGTGATATAAGCCAGATTTAACCGAGGTTATTACAATGGTCATATGTATCAGCGTGGTTTAAATTTACAGTATCTACATGTAAGATTTTATTAGCAGCTGCTGTTGTACTCAGTTACTAGGCAATGTGAGATCTGCTTTGGGTCTGGAAGTAGCATGTTTGCGTTAGTTGCCATATTGCACCTCTCAGCAGGGATTATTGTATTGGGTAAAGTGCCACACTAATGCAATTTTTCTACTTTGAACCTCGTTACTATGTACTGGGAATGTGTCCATTCAAATTGGTGCTAACCTTTGGATCTCCACTGCATGCTTTATTGTAAGGTATAAACCCAGAGACTTGTAGAAGGTCAATGTAGAAGTTCAGAGGTTTTGCTTTGGTATCTCATAGTAATACTTCAGTATAAAGGAAAGGTGATCTTTTTCCCCTCTTTGTTAACACTTATACAAGTAGTAATAAAAACATCAAAGTATTTTACTAACAAAGTCCTCAAACTATTCACTGGTTTTTTCCCCCAGAATTACTGTTTAAATTTTTGGATCCATATGGTTAAAATTGTAACATCTGTATCTATGTATTTCTGAAGGGAAATTGATTCATTTTCACTAGTAAGCAATTGTTTGTTTCGGAAAAATCTTGTACATTGTTGTAAATCATGATATGTTATGTTCGTTATTAACATCTACACTTTTACTAATAGGATATGTCTGTTATTTTGTACTGCAGTGTGTATTACTTTAGAGATTCATCTCTAAATGCTTTTCTATTGTTTGGCTTTGCTGGGAATGGTAGAAGGGAATCCCTTAATGCCCAACACCATGTTATTTCCTTAGGGTAATTCCTCTTAATTACCACTCTGTTGCAGTCCCGAGAGCGCAGGTTATGCACAAAGACTTTGAAACATGGATTATATTTCTGTCTTGGAACACATCATGCTGCAATTCTTTTTCCTTAGGCTATAACATTCTATGACTACTTCATCAAAGGTTTAATTAAACCCATTAGTTTGCCGAAATTGTCTACATGTTTCAAAAATTATCATCCTTAATCTATTAAAAGATGTTGTTTGTAATATTTTTCAAAAGTATGCACTCGGATACAGTGTTAACTATTGCTGAGACAAAAATTAAAATGTAAAATGGAAAGAAACACTTCTTGTAGTAAGTGTTACTTTTTATTCACTGGGTGGTACAGATAAAATCTCTAGCCATGTTTTATTGTGCCTTCTCTGAAGATTATTCTCAAAAAATCATTCTCTAGCAATGGGAAAATACATGTATTGTGTGAAAACGATTTTGTTAAATTCTGAGGAATGGGTTTTTAAGACTTCATTTTTTCATGAGGCAAATATAACTTTAAAGGTGCTTAATTACTTCTTAAACTACATTTGTGGGTTTTGGGCATTATGGATAACCAACCCCTGGATATAGTTTTAAATTCAGATCTTCATAAGTATATTAGTTCAAATAAAGTGAGACAGATCTTGACACTGGACTAAAATGTAACTTGATAGAGAAACTCAAAGCTATAGTTTGTTAAAATAGAATTAATTTTTGTACTAATCTGATCTGAAATACGTTAAGTAGACATAAGAACTTCATTAAGAGAAGCAAATTTCATTTACCGTGGACTTACAACTCTTGAAAAGTCTGAACTGTTGTAAGGAAGAGGTCAACACCATCTTTTTGAATCTGCAGCCATTGGTAGTCCTAAATCAGTAATGATTTGCACTTAAGAGCATGAAGAACAGGTGGTCACCTTAACAGACCATTTCCCACCACACCCTGCTTCTACCCAAAAAACCTCCAAAAAGAAAAAAAGTCATCTTTCACTTAAGTAGATCTTATCTAGGAATAATACTGGCACTAATGAAGCACAGTTCTCACAGAACTTGGAGGTGATTGACTTCGATTCTGGGAAGGTGTGTGTGATCTCTAATGCTTTTGCAGCAATTAAAGCAGGAGAAATCTACTTTGTGAATTGTCTGGTCTCATAAAAGGATGAGCTCAACTGTGCATTGCTGAAGGCAGCTGTGGGCTCACAAATAATGTTTTAAAAAAAGTGGGGGAATAAAGGGCCTAAAGCTAATTTATATACAGATTAATATAAACTTTGAAATAATGCAAAAGTAACATTGAGATAATATGATGGTTGGAAAGTCAAGTTCAGAAAAACAGTGAATACTGGAGTTGGTTCTTGCCCGATCATAATGAAGTGCTTCTAAAAATTAAATTTATTTTGTCAGAACAGTTAATTTCTCTTTTCAGAGCCAGATTTAGGTTTTTAAAGAATTTTATATGGAACAGAAGTAATTGTCTTTTGATTTTCTAACTCAGTTAAGTTTATTAACATTTGGACTACACAGAATTTTAACATTTCCTAGTGAAACTTCGATCACTGCTAGAGGAGACTGAAGAAAACACATGTAATCTCTCTTTTGTTAATAAAACACTTTCTGCCTGAAAATAAAGTGCCAAAGTTGTTCTACACTGTGGAAACTAAAAGCACATTTTTCAGCCTCTTCCTATTTAGAAACGTTTATAGGAAGAATAGTAGAAAATTCTCCATTTTGTTTTCTAGTCTAATTTAATTTCACTGAATATATATGTATGTGATTTATGCATCAGTTGTTTTATTGATAGATTTTAATTATTCCATAAAAGAGAAGACTAGCAATGTGTTACTAGTAACTAGTAATCTGGAAAACAATTTAAGTGAAGTCAGCAAATGTTTTAGTATTTAAGCATTGATTTTTGGAATGTAAAGTTTTAACTCTGGAGAGTAAGAAAATAAGTAAGAATAATCTATCTACAAGTCTATTCTTATCTTTGAATAGATGTGCTTCTCCCATTTTTCTGTTTTAACTTTTAAATGGAGAGAAACAGAATGGTTTTGCTTCTCATTTAGTTTGTTCTTTCAGCAGTGGTTGGCTTGAGGAGGGGACAGGGTCAGATTAGTTTTATTTCCTGTAAAATCCTGCATGAGTGAGATCATGTTCTGACACAATGTTTCGTGGTAGTTTTGAAGTATCCTCTTTTTCCATGTCCAACATCCATATTTCATTTGTGCAGTAAATGAACTGCCATTGTTTGAATTCATGGCCATCAGATGTTCTGTCTGGACAGTTGCTGAGCCTGCTTTGGTTCCCAACCACTACTTATTATCTCCTTTTATTTCTCATCTTTCAAACAATATTGTATCCTTTTCTTGCTGGTTTTGGATTTGGTTTGGTGTGGTGTTTTGTTTGGTTGAGGTTTTTTGGTGTTTTTTTCCCCTGAGGCTTTGATGATAGGATAATTTTTAAATGCTTTTACAAGTCTGAGTGAATATTAAATGAATATCCTGCATCACCAATACCTGAGGAGTCCTTCAGAGAATGGCATTATATTGGACAGAGATTATTTCCTTCTGCAAAGCCAGTTTTGACCCTTCCAAATTTTGTACATTGTGCCTTCTAACTCTGCCTTATAGTTTCTACAACCTTACGTATTATAGATGTTTATTTTTTTAGATATGTACACAGCACTATTCTATCCAGATTTTAATGATGTGATAAATTTGGGTGATTTAAAAAAAGTTTGCTACTTTGGATAGCAGCTATTCCATGATAGATCCAATCCTAGATGGACTGTGTTTTTAAAATAGCGCTGTCGTGACTGCTGTTTCTTCTTTTTAAATTTTAGCTGTCCCTTTTCCACCAACGCATCGCTTAACGTCTGAAGAAGTGTTTGACACAGATGGAAGACCAAGGGTTGACATTCTGAAGAACCACTTGATAAAAGAAGGTCGAGTGGATGAAGAAATTGCACTTAGAATCATCAATGAGGGTGCTGCAATATTACGGAGGGAAAAAACTATGATAGAAGTTGAAGCTCCAATTACAGGTAATATTTCTAGATAATTTCACACATAATTAAATTTGAAAAAAACCCAGACTTTTTCAGTAGTAGAATTCGTCTTAAAATCGCTAAAATAAAATTTCCATGTTAGTCTTATTGAATTATCCCTCACAACTGCATTTGCTTGACAATCTGCACATTGTTTTGCAAAAGGAAGGCATTAAACCTATTGAAAAAGCCAGTATGATTTGTATTAAAATTGTTTAAAAAATCAAGTAGTTAAATTATGTTGAATTATGGATTTCTAACTCCTGCAATGTTGTAAGTAGGAATAAAGGCATCTGCTTGAACTCGGGATAATCCTGAAATCTAAATATGTGAAGAGAAGCCAATTGCTGTGATTTGAAGCAAATACTGGGAACTGAGATTCTTACTGAAAAATGCACCTTTATAGTTCATCTGTAAGCAAGACTGGTGATTGTGTGTAAAACCATGTTCTTGTGAGACCAGTAGTACTGGAAAGTGCTTAAAGATTGTTTTAGCATCTTTGACACTAGGACCAGATCCACTGGGATACAAAACTGACTCAGCTTTTTTTGGAGTATTTTCATAGTTTTACAAGTTCTATTTCTGTTTGACCTGATGAAAGGTGGAATTGATGTCCTTTAGTATTTTTATTTATAAACAATCTAAACTCATAGAAAGTAGTTTATGTTGCATATCTGCTATTTATGATAATGAAAGTAGATTTGATTTTTGTGTTCAAATCAGATTTTCTTTAATCTGAATGCGGTTTCCTCTAAATGGACATATATAAAATTAGTGTCTGAAAGCTTCTTTTAGGGCATCAGTATCGGTTAGTATCGGGTAAATGAAGACATTAAAACAGTACATTATTATTCTTACTGATGTTTTCTGAACAATGAGTGGTTGAAATGGTGGAAACCACTAAGTGGCTGTCTCTGAGCTCAGTCTTTTGCAGTTCCAGATAAAGCTCAAAACTACAATTTGTTTAGAATTTTTATATTTCTGTTTGTTCAGGTAGTTGGTATATTGGCAATTGAAAAAGAAGGAAAGTTCTTTCAGTGTTTGAGTAGAAATTTTTTAAAAAGAACATATAAGTGGACACATTCTATTCAGCCTAATATTTTGTAGGTTGTCATGACAAATGGCCTGATCTAAGAGAATAATAACCTTTGAAGTGTGCTGTGCCATATCCAGTATTTCTTTCCAAAATTAGAACAACTTTTTTTCCCCCCAAAGAATTTACAGATAAACTCTAAGAAGTCAGAAGATGCTATTTGTCAGTCAATCAGTGACATTTTGCATTCATGAAAAGCATGGTCTCTCAAGTTCCTGTTAATGGTTATCAGCAATACTTCATGCAGAAGTGAAAAGGGAGCTCCTGACTTCTACTAACAGGGAACTCCTGTGGGAAAGAGGAGATCAGAGCAGTCGTCTCTTCTGTGCAATTTTTAATTACTTTTTTTAATTGTGAGATGACCTGGCTTTGCTGTATGCTCTTCCAAGACATCCCATCTGCTATCTTTGGCACTTCTGCCTTAGGTTGCTGACCACTGATCTGGTCCTCCCATATTCTAAAAGTACATGAAAAATCCACTGTTGAAATAGTGAACATGGTTATTTGAAGGAGAAAAGTAACTGAGCAAAGAGAAGATATGGTGATATTAAAAGGTGTGTTAGTGTGACTCAGAAAAAAAAGCATACTCTCCATTTTTTTCAAGCTCTCATGGACTCAAGCAAATCATTGCAAAGCAGCAGGCATTTTCAAATACACATACCAAGGAGAATTAGCAAAGATACCTAAGGGATTGGGGAGGACAGTGAAGAGCTGCTGACAGCTTTCAAGACCACAGTGCTCAGTGCATTAACTGTGTTGGAAAAAGAGTCCACAGTCTGCTAGACTCAAATAGGGCTATCATCAGCATTGCCACGGGTGCTGAAGACAGCATCTTAATGAAAAGCAAATGGGGAACCTTCAAAAATTTCTATTGTTCCTACTTTATACCTGCCTTTCCTCTTAATTAGAAGTACTTTGTAGCTGTTTACTTAACTATAACTTAGTAACTTTTCTGTTAGATTTTTTTAAAATTAATTTGAACAAAATTTTTGCTTGCAGTGTGTGGTGATATTCATGGCCAGTTCTTTGATCTAATGAAGCTGTTTGAAGTGGGAGGATCACCTGCTAACACAAGATACCTCTTCCTCGGTGACTATGTAGACAGAGGTTATTTTAGTATAGAGGTAACTGAATATATTAATCTGTTTTGTCCTAAATTTTTCTATAAGCACACTTTCACTGAGGTTTTCAAATGAAATTTTAGGTCTGCTTTAACATGTCAATGTGTTCCTTGCTGTGCTTTCTCCTGTGACAGAGGCCTGTTTACAGGAGAATACTGACCAGCTGTTTGGACTGTCATGTTGAAATCACCAGTCTTACTAATTTTTCCTCCTCTTTCTTTAGTTAGTTTTTTAAAAGTTGAATTCTATAACATTATTATACATAATGCTGCTTCTGCGGTAATATGCAGGAAGGTGTGTTTGTATGTTTTTGGAGAACAGGTGAGTCATGACTGCAAGGTCTTTTAATTTATTATTTGCAATATTGTTATCTGTTTAATATTATTAGATGTTTATTTTATAAAAGAAATTAATTTTGTGTAATCAAATGTTTTTAATAATTATTAATATTTTCTTTACTAAAATTCTACGAGCAAATACAGATATTCTCCAAGGATGCCCTGTATTTCTGCCATTAATTTTACAGTTATTTGGAATTCAAATAATTTTTTAATTTTCAACATGTTTATTAAGTGTGCTACATTTCAGAGATATTCGCTTATTCACATTGATTAGTTTCAGAGCCATGATTTTTAGGTTAACTGTTCTTCTGGAGCCAGCCTGGGAAGTGCCTCAGCTTGGGATCTCTGCAGAGATACCAAATCTAATGGAGTAGCATACCATTGGAAATAGTGTCTTGCAAGGCACGGTGTATGGTCTTTCATTTCTGTATAAAAATGTTGCCATTCTAATAACCTGTGGGGGTATGTGCTGTGAAGGGCATGCACAAGCCTTTTGGGGTTGTTAGAGATGGCAGACAGACAGGAGATGCAGCAAGAGCAGTTGCCTCATCTTCAAGGAAAACTTTCAGTAGACATTCCCTGTTTATGAATTCGATCTTCTTGGCCTGTTCTTGATGATTACAAATAATGTAGTTGTCCTCAGAAAGGACATTTACATAGTAACTCTATGTGTTACCATATCAAAGCATGTTATTAAAGCTTTTCATTCATTACACCTAAAAATACTTCTGAAATAATTGTTCTTGAATATATTAATAAGAACAGGCTTGCTTTTTTTTTTTCCTCTCATTTTAATTTAGTTTTTAATATAATCAAAGAATCACAGAATATGCTGAGTTGGAAGGGAACCACAAGGATCATCGAGTCCAACTCTTAGCCCAGCACAGGACTATCCCCAGGAGTAACAACGTATTTGTCAAGTTAAATATACTTGCAGAATATGTAAAGATATGCTAAATAGATTCTTGAAAACAAGTCTAGGGTTCTTAAAAATCTTGTCTTTCATTGAGATAATTCACTCACTTCTATTCTGAGTGGCTGTTGGACTTGGTGATCTCAAAGGTCTTTCCCAACCTAAACCTATGTATGATCCTGTGAAGTACATGCAGACTGTCTGAATGAAATAGAACTGCTGCAGATGCATCAAGGCAGGACTATGCTTTGTGGTCTTGTTGAGAAATAAAAAAGGTAGTACATGAAAATCAGCCTTAAAATTTTTTTTCCTACTTAAGTTTTTGTCTTAATTAACATTTAGGAATTTTAAGTTGACCTCCATGAGTTTTCATATATGGTTACTCTAAAATCTTTCTTAGTGATTGGAAAGGTAATATAGTTTTGATAAAATACTCGACTTTTCACAAAAAGGTGAGATTTTAAAAAAATATAGGAACAGTGAAATTTGATTTTTCATTAATAAATTCTTAATCTGTCTGTCCTGAAACATATTTAAGTGCATTGATATTTTAGTAGTAATGCATTCTAATTTAAAAATGTTATCACTTCAAATAGGAAAGATAAGTACATGCTACCATGACTGTCTATAACAAACTGCAGGGATCAAGCTGGACTCCTTCACAAAAGTGTGTGAAAATTCTTCTTTTCTGTGCTGGAAGTAACAGGACATAAAGAATGTTAACATTAGTCTGTCTGTATTTGATAACAAAAATAAATATGCCAGTACAGGAAAGGTAAAACAAATAATTTGGTTTTGTACTTAATAGGTAACATACCTGAGAACATGTAAATCTCAGCAATTTAATCAAATTTAGTATCCATTCGCTGAAAGGAAGGCACTATTTTGCCACTTTTCTATTAAATGTTTTCAAGTTTGGCAGCTTCCATGCAACCTGACTTAACTAAAACAGTTCACAACTGTAGAATTTGCCAAAGTGATTCATGTATTCATTTGATGATAGACAGTCGTTTTGATTATGCTTTCTGCTGGGAAGCACTTTTAAAGAGTCTGGGGACTTTGCAATGGTATTTTAGAGTTACAGAAACATTGGAAAGCAAGCGTTATCATTAGCAAAATTACTATTTCGCTTATTTTTACTAAGAAGATAAAAATTCAGTAATTAGTTTAGCTAAACTTCACAATGAAAGTCTTTGATGTATTTCTCAATGTTTGTGGTGGTTTTTTAAAGCACTGATTTGTTTTCTTTCTTTGTTCATATACTCTGCTATTCTGTGCAAAATAACTTTGAAGAATTATAGCTTCAGGGTACGCGTACTGATTAGGAACAACACTAATAATGACTTGCAGGTGACTTCGATGGAGTCCAGAACTTCTGGGGTTTTGAGATTTCTGTGCTCAGTTAAAAATACACGAATTAGATTTGAAATTTAGGAAGTACATTTTGGGCATTCAGGACTGCTGGGTGGTAACAAGACTGTAAACTGAAATAATTATACATGTTCTGTTGCTCTGTCCTCAACTCTGTTCACTGCTGATGTTGCAGTAACAATGATATATGGAAACTTACTGTAATTATTTGAGTTTGCTGCTTGTACACTGAGAAAGCAACCAGTTTTCCCAGTGTATGTCCATTTTTAGTTTAGGAATGATCTCCAAATGATACAGCTAACTTTAATGTAAATGATTTTGTCAGGTTTTTTTCTTCAGTCTCTATTAATAAATGTCTGCTTTCCTTCTTATGCGAGTGTTTAGAGTCATATTATAAAATTGGATTTTAGGCACAAACATACAGTATTTGTCTAGATGAAAGTGTTTTGCAGTTTAATTCTGCTGACTTTATTTTATTATTGAGTGTCCATATTTTTTCAGCATTCTATGTGGCTATTATTAAGAAAAGGAGTAGGCAATCTGCATAACTTGTGTCCAGAACTGGACCTGGGGCAGTAGTGCTGTATTTTAAAATGGCACATTAAGCTGTGCCTGCTTTTGAAGCTGTTACCGTCCTTACTTAGTGTTTCTCAGTAATAATTTTTAAATTTCTTATAAACTAGTGTGTTTTACTGGATCCCTTTTTTTTTTTTCAACAGTGTGTGCTGTACTTATGGGTCCTGAAAATTCTCTACCCAAGCACATTATTTCTTTTGAGAGGCAACCATGAATGCAGACACCTAACAGAGTATTTTACCTTTAAGCAAGAATGTAAGTACTGTCTAAGAATGTAAAATTAGCTTACTTTCAACCTGCTGATCTGCAGTCTGTCACTGTGCTTAAGACATGTTTGTTTCTTAGTTTAATTAAGGTCTTGCAAACATTTGGAGGCCCCATTGACTTCTATAGAAGTGCTTGCAGTTTAGTGTGGCACTGGAGTGCAAGAAGGCAGGTGCCTGTAAATATACATTATGGAATAAATTTTGATGTATCAATCTTGATTTTAAAATCCTGAAGAGAGGAAGTTTGTTTTGCTCTCTTGGCTGTAATGAGGAGTGCAGAGTAACTTGCTGAGCAGCATTGTGAAGCTGGCAGAAAAACCCTACTGCTGAGTAATCTTTCCCTTTGGGGAATTGATTTTCAGCTATAGTAGTAAGATGACTCTTTTGGTGATGTCAGCTGCCTCACCATTTGGAGGCTTGTGTAAATATTGATCCAGTGATAAATGGATCATTTGGCCTGGTAAAACCCTCTTTGATGTAGGTAAAAATGATGTAATCTGTTATTAGTTCTTACCTTCTCACTCTAAATGAGAATTTGCAAACTTCTCAGTAGGGTTTTACACTGACGTATGCTGTGTAATTGTATAAAAATAATATAAAAATGATTTGGTGTTTTTTTTTTTAAACAAAAATAGTTTCTCCACTCTTGAGATAACAGAAGAAGAAATGAAAGAAGTGTATTGTTCTGGAAGAGAATATGTCTTAGAAATGGGCTTGCTTTTGTGGTGTTTGGAAATGTTCATTTAAACCCAAAAATACTCATTGCTTTCGGTTTTTTTAAGCATTCACTTTGATATTTGCTCTTACAGTTATGATCCACTAGTTGACTTCATGCATCTATTATGGATTTTTTCATGATTTCTATTTTCTTTCCTACAGGTAAAATAAAGTACTCCGAAAGAGTCTATGATGCTTGCATGGAAGCTTTTGATTGTCTCCCTCTTGCTGCTCTCTTAAATCAACAGTTTCTTTGTGTTCATGGTGGACTTTCACCAGAAATTAATACACTAGATGACATTAGGAGAGTGAGTATTTTGTGTATTTGGAAATAAGTGGAAATAGAGATATTTATATGATGCTATACAAAATCATCTTTTTGAAGTTGTCATTATATTGTTTTCTGTTCTTGTCTCTTGTGGAAGTGTGAATCAGGAACTGAAATGTAGGCTAGGCAGTATCATAATTAAAAACTCATGGATTATTAGTGCATTTCCCATTAGTAGACCTCATTGGGACAACTGGGACTGTTACAAAACACACATAAAAAAACTCCCTCGAAAATGCCATATAGTTTCCTGTGACAGGTAGTATGTATAAAGAGCTTCATATCCAATCAAGATAATGCTTAGTATTTCTTTCTAGATAAGAGCTAGTGTTTTCATGGTTTTCAGGAGAAAAGTTGTAGAAGTTAATTGTAGTCTTAAAATTGTTTGCTGTATAAATCGTCATATTTCAGTTATTCTCAAATTTCTTTGAATTTTTTTTTATTGTCCTAATCATTTGAATTTAGTTTTGACAGAGTGAGACATGGCAGTATTTAATAGAAATTCATATTTTTATTTAAAATGGCAAATTTGGTAGGCAGTTGAGTAACAGTTGTAGAGTACTTCTCACTGTGGTAAATGTTCTATCAGTAAGACAAATGAAAGCAAATTTTTAAACTTTTACAATGGAAACACTAAGCAGTGATGTGCAATTTAAAGAGAAGAGGATTGTGATGACATGAGATATCTGTTTCTAATAATGTGGATGGACTGCTGATGTCAGGTGAAGATTTTATCAGATGGGAATTTTCAAACTCAGTTGCTTTCCTTTTTGCATACTCCTTTTTGGTTTATTTTAATTAACTTAGCTGACATCTTTACTGCTCCATTTGGAAATCAAAACCATTCCTATTATGATTAGTAACAGCTGAAATGTAGTTGATTTCAGCTTAAAACATAAATAGATATAAGAAAGCTTTGGGATTATAGGTAAGGATGGAAGAAAAAAAGTTGTTTATCCACATATGGAAGAAAGTACGTGGAGGCCTATTATAAAAAACAATGTAAATGTCAGAGAGAAGGTAAAAGTATGTTCCTAATTTATTTCTATAATATATAAATATTGACGGCCCATTTTGTCCTTTTATCTTCATGTATTGTATTTCTTGTTTTCTTAACATTTTCTCCTTTACTTGTGCTCCATTTTTCTTTTTTACCTCTCCCTCTCCTCAGAGTTATAGGCTATCCAGTTGAATCTCATTTCTGAATTTACCATATTTTGTTCACTTGGGTTTTTTTGTACTGATGGGACCATTTCAAAGTCTGGAATGTCAGTTTATTTCACTTACAGATACTACACTGCCAAGCAGAGTGATGTGAGAGGAGAATAAAATGGTAGAAACAGATAGGAAGCATATTTACAAGATCAGTGGTGTAAATGGGAAAATGTACTGAGGCACATAGCATTGTTGGAGCAAATACTGACATGTACAGAAATCCATGTGCATTGTGCAGAGAAAGAGAAGTAAGAGAGCAAAGCAACTAAATGGTGCCATTCTGACAATGCCTTAACAGTTCTCACATTCCAGATGAAAGGAAGCATGGTCAAGGCTTTTTGGAAAGTAGTGTAAAGGAAATATATTCTGGAAAAGCATTTTGGAAAGCCGCTGTCGTGACAGGATTGTGATTCATTTTTCTGTTAGTCTCAGTCTTGCAGCTGGTCTTGTTTCAAAGTGTCAAATCATCTGGCCTGTACTTTCATATGTGCTTCTAGAACGTTCAAGGTTACATTGGGGTGAAACATAAGCTTGTATGTTTTTATACATATACATGAAAATCTGCATTTTATTTTGTTCTGATAAAAAACACGTTTATAAATGTAAGGCAGTGTTATTAGAACTGCTCCTTGGGCCTGTTTTGTTTTTTAAAGAATCATCTGGTAACTTGGAAAAGGCACTATTCATGGGCTGGCAGCAGCTTCAATAGCTGCATTAGAGCTTGACATGCACTGATGTTCTAAATGTGCTTACGTAGGTGACATGAAATGCTCCTTTTATATCTAGGAAAATATCAAATACTTTTGGTACAAGTGTGGTGTGTGAAATTACTTCTTTAAACAGTCAAGACAAGCTTTTTGGTTTATTAGCAGAAGTTCTTATTAAGGAGAGGTCTTCGCTGCAAGCACGTGTAGGCATAGTCACCTGGCATAAGAAGGGAAATCACAGCTCTATAAACAGTATAGGAATCACCTAAGAAAAAAAGAAAAATTCTGTGCAGGTGCAGTTTCTTCTGGGTGAAGTCTTTTGTCAGTATTACTGACTTTCAGGATGGTGATAAAACCATACAAATTAAATTATTATTTTTGCTGTCATAAACTTACTTCCAGAATAGGACAACTATCATACTAGCCCTGACAGTGAATCCTAACCAGAAAGGTTGCTGCAGGTGCTTCTTATTTTGGGGAAAATGGAAGTTTGTGAAACTTGCAGTAATCTGATTTTTATTCTTTGAATGTCCCTCACACAAATATTCTGATTGTTTTGATAAATAGTGTCTCTTTCAGACACATTCATCACCTTACAGATGCTGTTCCATTGATTTCATTTACACTGCCAAGAAAGAAAATTGCAGGATTTTGATTTTCAAGCTTAGTATTTTACAAAGAGGGAAGTGTCCAGATAAGATTTTGGTGACTCTGAAGAAGAGAGACAAAGAATTTTCTTGCTCATTTACAACAGACGGTCATTCTTTTGTTTAGCTCGTGGTGATACTAAGACTCGGTCAGCAAATTGCCTTGAAATATATGGGGGTGCTACTGGGAATCTGTCTTTATAATACCTTGCTTCCTTTCTGTGGTCTGCTGAAATCTCCTTTTGTTTAGTAATACATCAGATGACAGCCACACTTCACTGGCCTTCACATTGTTCTTCAGGCTTTACGATGTGATAATTCACAGGAAAATTAGGACAGATTAATTAAAACTGATGTCTGTATGTGAAACTTCTGTGAAGGTCTTTTGCCTCAAAAGTAAAATTGTTTCAATTTGCTGTACCTTAATCTGTCTCTGAGGTTTTGGTACTCCTCAATTTGAACATGCATGTGGAGGTATAATGTACCTCAGTTTAGTAGCCCTGACTGCATAATAGCTATAAGTTAATTTAAATTTAAATATCTCACAGTATATTAAATAATATATTACCTATTTCTGTTTTAATACCAGATGTATTGATTCTTATTCTTGAATAAAATTGTCTTTCTTTGTTACCTTAATCATATTTAGAAATACATTAACCTTATTTGTACTGGGATTGTTTTGCCATAATCGAAGAACATTCAGAAATATTAATTAGTAACAAGTGTTTTGAATTGACTCATGTCCTTTGTTAACTTTCTTGCTGTGCCAATATAAAAAAACCCCTTAAGTTGATTCTTCTGATTTGATATGTGCAATCTGGGTTGAGTAGCCTGCAGTGACATTTCCTTAAATTTTGAGATGTTTTGAGAACCATGGTAGACTCTCTAGTGAAGGAGACACTGATTTGGTGTGTATGTAAGTATATTTATTTTTTACACACTGACCTTACTTCAAGAAATGGCTGCATTATTGTTTCAAAGCTATGAGAAAGTAGTTTGGGAGAGAGAGACGTTAATTGCAGCCAAAGCTTATTGTTTATAATGTCTCTTTATATTTGGCCAAAGTCATAAGGAAAAGTCCTTGAAGACTAACTAAAGAAAAAAATCTTAGAAATGTTTTCTAGACTTTCAGCCTTCTGTATTGCAGGAAACATCAATCGGCAAACAGTTGAAACTTCCTTGTATGAATGCTTCTCTTAGCTTCTGGACCCAAATTTATTGCTGGAGGTTTAGAAACTTGATGGTTTAATCTACAGAAATTCAGGTACTTGCAGAAGTTGATGGACTGACTTCTTCAATCTGGAAGAAATACTCCATACCGGGTTTATCATCCAGTGTGGGAAATGTTAAACCACAGGATTTTTAATATTGAATAAATTCCGACAACAACTTCAGTTAATACCTGCCTTACCATATTCTGGCAGGAATTTGTAAAGATCTGGACCTCTCCACTTATGTTACAGGTGGCAGCCTCGGGAGCTCTGATTTTCCAGGGCATGAGAGAGCTTGGCACTACTGCTGGTTCCATATTTGAATGGATTCCTATGGACCGTTAGACTCAAATTCACCAGGTGCTCACCAAACCTTCCTTCGAACCTGTCATGAAGAGTTAAGTGTTCTCTAGTACCATCAAAGTCATCTTCTTTGGTATGGGAAGTGAAGTGAGATAAATGCACTGTCCATCAAAGAACCGTTCCTACATTTCTTGGATAAAATCATCTTGTGAACAAACTCCAGCTACATAAAGATCAAATCAACTTTACATTGAATCTGGGATATCTAATTTCATTTCTGGGACATGAGAGATTGATTGCCTGTTACTTACTGAAGCAGGGTATTTTCCTTTTACGTTAACAAATGCGCTGTCCTCCTTACTTCTGCCCCTTTTGACTGTGGTTACTAGGAAAGTTGCAGGCTGCTAAGACAGGTGTTTCAAGTGGAAATCAGTAAAGAAACAGCAAGAGAAAACACAGACATCTCCCAAAATGCTTATGGCCCATTACATCAGGGCTAGAGCTGAAAAATAAAGCTTGTATGAAAGAAATCTAAGGCAGCTGAGCTTAGTCACATCTTCATTGCATTGTTAAACAGTCCATTATGGAGACGGGTGTGCCAGGGTGGTTTGTTTTTCTTTTGGTGTTTTTTTTTTAATTTCTTTTGGTAATATATATTTAGTCTCTTCTAGTCGGTGCTAATTATTCATGCTTTTCTTTCATAATTCCTGTTTTCTGTACTGTTTCTCTTTGCTAATTCCTGGTAGTGTCTCCAGATTGGTAGATGTGGCATGTGCATGAAAAAGGACCATTTTGTTCCTTGTCTGTAACTTGACCTGTATTACACATATCCATCAGTCTGGAATTTATCTCCCTTCTTTTTACAACTAATAAATCTTATTGCTCTTAACAGGTTTGGTTCTTTTGGCATGCCTCTGCCTTATTTCATGAGGAGGAGAGAAAAAAATATACAGAAACTACTTCTCTTTGATATGGTTGGGATTTATTCTAAAAATGCTTGGTATTGATGGATATGTAGTTTAACAAATGTGTAAAACTTACTGATTTAATATTGAAAGAGTCTTTGTGCTGTTGCCTTTTGTTAAACAGTTAGATAGATTCAAAGAGCCTCCAGCATTTGGACCAATGTGTGACTTATTGTGGTCAGATCCATCAGAAGATTTTGGAAATGAAAACTCACAAGAGCATTTCAGTCACAATACAGTCAGAGGATGCTCATACTTTTATAGGTGAGAGTATTCTATGATCTCATTGGGTGTTTTAGTACTGATTCTTGCTGTTTATTTTAAGAGAATTTCTTTTACTCATAATTGTTTTCATTTCACAGCTATCCAGCAGTTTGTGAATTTTTGCAAAATAATAATTTGTTGTCAATCATTAGAGCACATGAAGCACAAGATGCAGGGTAAGTACTTTGTGTCTTTCAAGGAATTATTCACAGTGTAAAATAAAAATTAATTGCTTATTTACTGTAAGATGTAAAATAATCTGTTTGGTTTTGCAGTTATAGAATGTACAGGAAAAGTCAAACTACAGGGTTCCCATCATTAATAACAATTTTTTCAGCACCTAATTACCTGGATGTCTACAATAATAAAGGTAAGAACTTGTTATTAATAAGTGTTTTTAATAATAAAATTGTCTAACTAGATAATCTGATATCAACAACTTTTTGCCAGGTAAGAAATTTAAGGACAAAAAAATGTATTAATGAAAGTTATACTATGAAGAAGAGCATGTACTATAAATGACAATCTCTTGTAAGAGTACCTGGAAGCACAAGTTGGGGCCAATATTTCCTTTGTGAAAGTTGTTGTTATTTAGTTATTATCCACTATTTTGCTATTTAGTTCTTATGAATTTATCATCTGGTGTTTTCCAGTCAGGAAAAGTTTTCCAGTGCTATGAGTTGTCTTTAGTTGGTGAACTAAGCAAGGAAGGGAGGAAGCATTGATCAGAAGCCTGTGCATAAGGTGGTTTGTGTTGTGTATTGTGGCACCTGAGAGTCTTAATTGTGATGATAATTCTAATAATGGCCCTGTATGGGAAATAAAGAAAGAGCAAGTAGGGATCAAAATACTGATTACCACTGGAAATATTATTAAGGAGGTATAAAACAAGGAATTCATTTTTGTCCATCTTCTACTAAGTTGAACAGGAGAAGCATGCTTAATAGTGTGGAGAACATCAGAATTACAGAGAAGAGCTTGGCTGTGAACTAATGTTATTCATAGATGAGAAAAAAATTCAAGAACAGAAATGAAAAATAAAGCCTGCTGAAATTAAAGTATGATATTAAAGTAAGGCATTTCAAGTATGTGATGAATGAATGATCTCCAAATATTAAAATAGCATTCCTTTGAAACCAAGACCTTTTTTTTTCTTAAATACATTACGTTTTCTTCCACCCACCTTCAAAGAACCACCCCCAGCCCATACCATTTCTGTGGGGTGAACAACTGTATACAGGAAAAGATGAGCTGTTGTTACTTGCACTGATTGCAAAGTAAAGGGGAAGTAAAAATAGCTTCAAATGGCTATTTAGGTTTTTTCACTATCTCTATGGATACTGTGTTCATAGAATCCTTTTTCACATCATTCCCAGTGTAATGCAAGTGAAAGTATGGAAAAATGCATATTAGCTTTAGAATCGTATTTGGCTTTAGAATGCTTCTGGTTTCCTGTCGTATTTCTTTGTGCTTCCCCTTCTCCCTCATCTTCTAGATGTCTATGGTTTTACTCCAGACTTACAATATGGGAAGACACATATGAAGAATAAAACCTAAATCTGCATATACTGGATATACTTCTGTTCTGAGTTAGAGTTTTGTTGAAGTTTCTGGAGTTATACCTTTTCAATACCTTTAAAAATCTTTGTTCATTATAGACCTATAGTAGGACAGTACAGAACTATATTGACATGTAAGAGTGCCTTAAACTGCAACATGTGCAGTAAAAATGCAAAGCTTTGCATTAGAAATCTGTCCTGTAAATACTTGAAAGAAAGAGAATGGAGTATATCTGCGATTATTTAGTCTATGATATAAATAGAGCTAAAACAAGACTGTGACTTTACGTTTGTGGTACTCACAAGTTTTAAACATTCTTTTCAAAATGTCTGAATTTTATTTTAGCTGCTGTATTAAAATATGAAAACAATGTGATGAATATTCGTCAGTTCAATTGTTCTCCTCATCCTTACTGGCTACCAAATTTTATGGATGTTTTCACGTGGTCTTTGCCATTTGTTGGAGAAAAAGGTAAGCAGATGTTACACATTAACTAATATCTTTCCTATTTCTCCCAGATTGATGTTGGGAAGATTTTAATTTTTTTTTAAAATACATTTACCAAAGAGAGATTAATTGTATTATTATTATTGTGTCGTTTTCTTCACCTGTTTCAGTCAAGGTAGTTAGAACTACATCTAATATAGCAAAGGTGCTAACAGAAATTATGATTTCCATTGAGGGTGCATATCTGCATATAAAATTTTAACTTTCCTTTACAGATATAACAGATTGACCTTCATTAAGGATAACTTTTTCAGTTATAATTTTTTCTTGTAAAAAAGATAATTTAGCACAGATCCTCCTTTTTTTTTTTTTTTTTCCCTCTAGAGTTGATAACTGAATCTAGGACACTGGGGCCCCAAGTAGTCCTCACTTGAAAAGCAATGAGGTTAGAGGCTATTTGGGTCTGTTTAAAATCCTTCCATGAAGGAACTGGTTTTTTTATAAAAAGAGATCCAGAGAGCTCTTTAAATTTCTTTGAAAAGTATTCTTGCAGTTATATATTTACAGTCGTGTAAACATAGAATTCTGGCTTTCTGTTGTCTTTAGTAAGCAGTTTAATGCAAATAATTTGGATGCTTTGTACTGTGGTTAACCCAGTCAACAATTTTTTAATATTTAACTGAAGGGACCTGACATTTGAAAGGAGATTTTGGTTGTATCTCTCTTGCCCGATAATGCAGTAGATAATATTTTCAACAGCAAAGGGATATACTGTGTGTTTTGCTTTTGTTGTGATGCTGGTAATGACATCCAGCACCTTATTTAACAGTACTTGAGTGTCTCATCGACCTGCTCTCTGCTTCAGACTGCTGGAGTCATGTCCTGTAGTTTGCCTTGCCTTTGGACTAATACACATGTCCATTTATGATGAAGGATTCAGTGTCAATATTGTCTGGTCTGCATTGAACAGATCAAAATCATCATAATTTGGTTGGGCTTTTTTTGTTCTTTTCATTACTGTAGGGAGTAACTCTTTCCCAAGAATTAAGAATATCACCATAGCAGATAATAGGGATTGTAGGAATTAGTAATGAATTGTATGAGTTAATATGAATTAGTAATGAATAAATGTAGGCAGCAATTTACAGGGTTTTTAACAACCCAGCTGTACTTCTGGGTAGGTTTCTGAACACTCTGTGGTGAGGAAATGTTTGAATGTTTTAAGAAAGGGTCTGATATGTGTGGGAAAGATTGAGTGGCAGCATAAGGAGGATTCCTGGAGAAAGAAAATACACAAACTTGTCTCAAAAAGGTTGTATCCACTAGGTTGATATTTTTAAGGGGAGTTTGAAAAGAGATGTAGTTTGCACCACATTTATATTCTAATATTTTCCTGCTTGAGTGCTTCTGCTACATGCCTGCAGGTGCCAAGAATGGAATAGTTTTCTCCATTCAAGCCTGAATTTGAGCAGTGAACGTTTTTCAAATTTAACTAATGTTTGCATAAAAACTAGTTCAAACACTTATCCTAATGTAAAACTACTATTTTACAAGAAGAACTCCTTGTGAGACAGGAGAGGAAGCTCTGCTATGGTCTTTGATTATTGGCTTGTGTAATTTTTAGCTGCTTATTTTTCTGAGCTTTTTAAATTCTGTGACAGCGCACATCAAGACTGTTTTTGAAACCACATTACTGAGCAATGGCTATGATGAGGGGAGTTCATTCACTAGAGCTGCTGGTGACTTGCTGTATCTTGTGTGCATGGAAATATTTTAAATTCTACACAGAATGAATTAAAGTTTATTTTTTCCTATACAGTAACAGAAATGTTGGTGAATGTTTTGAGCATTTGCTCTGATGATGAACTCATGACAGAGGGAGAAGATCAATTTGACGGTAGGGATTATTTCTTTAAGATATATAAATCTTCTTAATGGTAATACCTTATGAACAGTAGTTAACTTAGACTGGTGTAATATTGCCTGGAGTTTGAAGAAAATTGCCTTCAAATTTTTCTTTAGATAATGATACTTTGGGGAGCCAGAGAAGGGAATTGTGTTTGTGTTTGTGATCAAGAAGCAGTAATGGCAACCTTTGCAAATATTCATATCTGATTTCTATTTAAAACAAACTTTTTGTGGAAAATGCTCAGAATTTCTTGGCACTTAAATTTGAAACATACTAACTTACCTTGCTAATACACAGAATAAATTTATTATAAGACATTAAATTTTTTAATGATTGCTTTTCAATAAAGAGTTGATGTAAGTGAAAGTCAGATACAATAATTTTTTATGGCATAGTAGTATAAAGTATGAAATGTAAGTTTATCTTGGTGTTTGAGTTTAAAGCATAAAAGTTAAAGGACAACCTGTATATGTACATTTGTGCATTATATAATTTGTATTTGTGTACTGAATTATAACCTCTTTCTGTCTCTTAAACTGTGATACAGTAGGTTAAGGAGGTGTTTGTAGCATGATGATTAAGGAGCAAAATTACCATGAAGACCTAGTGTATCACACTTTGTTGGTTTTTTTACAGCAGCGCTTAATGTCACACCTAAAAGTTTCTCAGACTTGCTTCATTTTATCTAACAACAGAACTGATCTTGTGAATTTTTTGTTGGTGGAGGAGGAGGAAGGGAAATTTCAGCAGCCTTTGAGGAACATTGAAGTATCATTTATAAAGATGTTAGATACTCGTTTGATAACTCCTGTGTTCAAACTGGATAGCAGGGTGGTGTTGTGCTGAGCAGCTGTGTTTTACTTTGGAATGCTTTGGTTCTGAGCCCCTTGAACTTTGGTGTCATTTAGATTGTGGTCAGAAATGTGAAAACTTTAAAAAAGTCTCAAATGTGATCCTGCAAACAGTCAGTTTCTGGTTTTTAGTCAAGTAATCCTGCTAAATTGAACGTAAAGCAGTTGTAGAGCAGGGTTAGGTGGTATTCTGAGGTGTTAGGATTTATGTTTGCAAGAATAGTTGGTCGTCAAATGATTGCATATGCCTTGTCTGTAGTACAGTAGTTGCAGTTTCCTAATTTGAATTATTTTATTCTTCTGTCTCCTTTAACAATTTCTTTGCTTGATGCATCTCTTATGCCACCTAGGTACCGTCTACGCTTTATCTTTCTATGTGAATGGATTTTTTTTAACTGTTGGCTTTCAAGTTTCCACTTGTTTATCATCAAATTTTAAAATATACTCAACAATTCCACTTCTTGTTTGATGAATGCATTTTTAAGTGTTGCAGTTTTCCATTTTATTTTTTTCACATTTCTTCTCCATTCCTTCTTTATTACCACTGCCACGTTAAATATCTTTATTTTTTTTTGTCTCACTCACCTTTTTCTCCATCGTTCACTTCCTTTTTTTCTGGACTCTCCATCTGAAGAGCGACTCATATATGGCAATAAAAAAGGTACAGACCAGACAGAGTAGGAATGTTTTGAAATATGACTTCACAGAACCTGACAGCACAAGTATTAAGGAGAAAATACCTTTCTGTTGAGAGACATATGTAGTATTTTATGATTATTAACCTTTTTAATGGGATGTTTCTAAAGACTTATGTATTTTGTTATCAGAAGTCATATTCCAAGACATCTGTCTTTCTGTGCATGAATTTTTTTCCTCCTTTCTTCCATTCCTTTTTTTGGTAGAATTTCATTCTTTTACCTATTTCTAAAATTTTATCTTTGGTCCTGCATGTGTAGGGAGCTTTCAGTTGTCTGTCTTGCTCTTTAATACTTTCCTCATGAGCTGTTTTTTTAAGGTTGTGCATGGAATGTGTTTATACAATGTTCCAAAAACTGGTTTGTGTAGTACTTTTTCTTTCCTTAACTGAGATGTCAAAAAGGTCCTTTTTGGTTCGTGTGCTATTTTGAAGATTCAAAATGTAAAAAGAAGCCTAATAACTTAAATTCATGTCTCTCACCTGTTTTTCGGAAATCTCAGGGTAGATAGTTTTGTACAGAGAAATTCTTCTGACCGTTACTTACCAATTATCAGTTTGTACTCTGTGCAAATTTGTCAGTTTCAGAGAATATTTCTAATACTTGGGAATGCATCAGATTATAGACATGTTTCCAGAGGTTATGTGAATTCTTTGAGGCAGAATAGCGTCAGCGTTCCAGCATTTGTTTCTAGTACCGGCATTGGGAATAGGAAATGGGAGAGTTCTTTGTCATATCTCCTCTGATCTAGGGTATAATCAAGACATTCTGCAAGCCATGTCTTCTTACTGTGTTCTCTGAAGTAACCAGGATTCAGTGGCCACATTAGTTCAGTGCTGCAGCCTGGAGTAATGCATTTGGCCTTTTGCCTTGGCTGTGTTGATTCTGGAGGGCTGGGGCAATGAGAGATCATGGTGAAAAAAACAAACAAAAAACCTAAACGAAACCAAAACAAAAACCAAAACCAAAGCATCTAAGCTGCCCAAAAGCAGCCTTTCTCCTTTTAAGGCATAGGGACCTTCCAGAGTTAGATACAGACACTAGCACTGCCCAAAGTCTTTCCAGCCCGCACGTTGTAGCTCGGCATCAGTGAGGCCTGTAAATAGGTGTAGGTAGAAGCAAAACTGAGGAACCTACAGGGAAAGATTAATGGTTTCTCGTTTAGCCCTGACCTTTTCAAAAACACTGAGAGAGTCCCCTTCTCATTCTAGATTCTCAAGCTGCTACTCAATAGTATTTAAAGAAAGGAAGTAAAAACTTCTAGAACTTCAAAAGTTCAAATTTTAAGGAAATTATTTGCAGTGAAAGTTGAATGTTTCAACCTATCCTACTCAAAGTTTTTCCTGAGCCACCTGTTTTGTCCTTTTCTTAGTTTGATGTCTTCAATTTGTTAAAAGTTTTAACTTTGTCTATTAAAAAACTGTACTCAGTAGTTCCTGGTTTTATTTCATTTTGTTTAAATGGATTGGCAGATACTTGTCATACCCTAAGATTCTTCCACTGTGGTCGTCCAAAGGTTGTCTCTTGCTCCCTTTTTTTTCTTTGTCACTACTACATGTTTTCCATCTTGTGTGGTTTTGTTGTTGTTTGACCTTATATGCTTTATCTTTTGTAATTTATTTGGTTTGGCATTTGGGTTGGGAAGGCTACCCATTCTTATGGACAGAAGGCCTTGTGTTGTTGCAGCTGTGGTCTGAGAAGTGTGACTGTTGTGCTGGAGTGTGTGTCCTCTGTGGGGAAGCTCCATACTAGTGAGCAGGGATGGAAAAAAGCTTCTTCCACAGCTCCCTTTTTTTGAATGTGAGTAGGTGAATTTGTGGATGTGCAGCTCTCCTGTGCCCACTTCTGTGATCCTCTCTTCTACATTCTTGCAAATTAATATAAATTTATATAAATATATAAATTAATAAAAAAAATTAAAACGTTGCAACGTTTTATTGAGTACCTTTGTCCCGGAACTGAACAACACTGACATATGGAAGATCTGGAATACCTAACAGAGCTGTCTGAGTGTTGCCTTTTGGTCCCCGTAGCTGAATTCACAGTAGGACTGAGTTACGCTTAGCTTGGTGTCATTAACACTCTCCTTTCTCAATGGCTAAGGAGAAATAAGGATTTTGATTTTGATACCTCCTCATCTGCCTTTACTGTTTTAGTGAAATTGAGAAGTCAGCAAAGGGAAAGGAAGATCCGAGGGCAAAGATGACTCTGAAATTACCTCAGCTGGTTAGAGCCTGGTGCTAATAATGCCAAGGTTGTGGGTTTGATCCCTGTATGGGCCATTCACTTAAGAATTGACTTGATGACCCTTGTTGGGTCCCTTCCAACTCAGAATATTCTGTGATTCTATGACTTTCATACATTGAAACAGAACAGCAACATTTAGTGTTGGAGAAAAGAGTTTTGCTTTCATGTCAAGGCAAGCATAGGTGGCTCTCCTTCCCAATTGCAAACCTCCTTTCAGAGTTTTGTCTTCACTCTTGTCTGTCACAAATGGTAGCACTCTGCCCTATGGAATATGCAGTGTTTACTCCAGGTCTTTTGGTATTTGTAATTTCTGCAAATGATGCAAGCCTAAGATGATGTGGAACATAGACTTAGATGGTAAGGGAGGTACCAGTGCAATTCTTTACCATTTTATTTTTCCTTTTTTTTTTTGGTGGAATTTTGTTTTGGGTAGTTGACATAAAAAAAAGGAAACAACTGTTTTCTCTCAGACAGCTGTGTAACAATTAGAAAATGTTTATTTTTTGTGGCTTTAATATTTCTTTGGCTTCTATATTGGGCTGCATGCCTACATCTTGATATATACAGATGTCAGTACTGAGAATTTAAACTGTAAAATTTAGGCAAATGAGTTACAATAGTTACTACAGTGTAGTGATGGTAATTTAGATGCTTAGTAGCTTTGGGAGATCACTGTGAACATCCTAAGGTTTTATGTGTGTGTTTCATGGACGCAGAGGTGATGGTGGTTTTGATGGCATTCTGAAGCCATAATTTAATAACTTCGTGCCCTTAAGTGTTTGGGTACTGACCTCCTGTGACGAGTACTGAACTTAAACGGTTGCGTTGAGTTTGATGCACTTTAAAATGGTGATCCTCGAAATAGTCATGAGCTTGAGACTCTTTTCTTATTCCATTGAAAGTAGGTACAGCTGCCGCACGGAAAGAAATAATCAGAAACAAAATTCGTGCAATCGGCAAGATGGCGAGAGTCTTCTCTGTTCTCAGGTACTTGCACGACTTCTGCATTCCTAAACCCCTGTTATGTATGTCAGGGAAACATCTCTGTTTCAGGATAATGGATGCCAGACATTTTTCAGGGAGATCACTGTGCATCAGCATCTTGTTTGGCATATTGGTGCAGCCCATTAATGTTGGTATTTTTGGTTAAAGAATATTTTTGAGTTATATTTGAGACATGTTTGAAGAAATTAGAGAACATGATCTCTAGTTTACGCGTTGTTTACACATTGTTGGTCCACATGCTATGAGTGTTGGAAAGATAATACCAAAATAGAGATTGAAATCAAAGGTGTAATGGAGGAGGTCAGGACTGGCTCTGAAACCAGAAATTTGAGGGCTAGAGGGTTTCTGTTTCAGGTTTTTGTTTATTTGCTTTCAGATATTTAAAAAATACTATATTCTTGTACTTCTTTAAATACAGAGATTTCATGATCATATTTACCCAAAATGTATATTTTTTCCACAGACCGTAATTGCTCAAATAGGGATAATTTTTTAAAGTTGTTATTTCCTGAAGTGTAGACACTTTGAACAAAATTGGGGATTGTTTTATGGTACTGAGATACATTCAGTACCTCTTTAGGCATTCAGTGCTAATTTCAAAGCTAATGAGCCTGCATGTGAATAATTGCTCAGAATTTGGTTCAGAAGTAGTCAGCATTTATAACTCGTAGGCAGAGGAAAGACTGGTATGGAATAGAATTATTTTCCCCTTTTTAGTTGTTTGAATTTGAATTTACATTCAGTCTTGACATGCCTAAAGCACAGCAAAAATAGCCTCTCCCTCTCCCCATCCATTATTTTACTTCAATGCAAGTTTTCATGTTGTTATTTTTTCTCACACCAGGGAGGAGAGTGAAAGTGTGCTGACACTCAAGGGTTTGACTCCCACTGGAATGTTACCTAGTGGAGTGTTGGCTGGAGGACGACAGACCCTGCAAAGTGGTAATGATGTTATGCAACTTGCTGTGCCTCAGATGGACTGGGGCACATCTCACTCTTTTGCTAACACCACACATAATGCATGCAGGGAATTTCTTATGCTTTTCAGTTCTTGTCTTAGCGGCTGATACCAGCATAGTGTTATGTGTTAATCAGGCAATGTGAAATGGATACTTAACCAGGGTATAAAACTAAAAGCAAATTAGTTCAGCAGTGCCAGGCCACATTTTTCAGACTTGGAGCTTCCTTAGTTTACAATTTTTCAGGTGGGATGACCTTATAGATCTGGTATTGAGGCATTTGATCATTACAGATATGAAAATGGCAGTGTAATTTTGCATCATTGTTTGCTCTCCATTAAAATGGTTTTATTAAAGTTGTGTTAGTATTTTCATTGACAATGTCAAATACTTGTTGATATTAATATTAACAAACAGCTACAGGCTGCATAGTTCCATATTACACTCCATTGACAGATTGGAATGTGCTACGTTTTGTACCCTGGTAATTAATGCCAAAGTTTGTTCTCTATGTTGTTTGTCAAATGTTCTATGTATAATTGACCTCCCTGAATTGTCCTTGTAACATGCTGTTTCCTTCCTCTGCAGATGTAGCTGCTTTCTTAGATCTGTCTGTCTCTCTCTAGGTATAGATGTATGTCTGTATAAGTGTTAAAATTAAACCACTATCCCAGACACTTGTCTGTCTCCTGATGTAGAAGCAATGTTGTAGCACCTTGTTTTTGAGGTTTGCTGCATTTGCTGCTGCACATTGTCTGTGCATTTGAAACAATAATGTACTTGAAAAATATTCAGCAATTGTTATAAAATCAGTTGAGAATAAAGGGATTGAATTTAAAACTTGTAAATAAATCAAAATAAAAGGGTGTTATTAAGTGTGCATATATTTTTTTGCATGAAAATAAAAAGAACTCTATACAAAATATACCTGTAATCTGGCTCATTGAATATTTTGTAAAAGGTTTTTATTCTTTTTTTAGTTTGTTGAATCATTGGATCATATTTTTCACAAGGCCCATAAATGATTAACTAGGCTTAGGGAGAATGCTCTGAGATTGTACCAAGTGTATTAGAAGAATGAAGTCCACGTTTCTGTTCACAGTGGTGGATAACTAAAATATACCAGTCTGAAACTGGACTTCATATCAGCAACACTCTTAAAATAAATTATTCAAAGACTTTTTATTGGCCATCTTCAGGCTTTACTAGAAAGTATAAGACAGTTGTATGGGACTGCTGAATTTTATAACTATTGAAAGATTGTGATATATGAATACCATTTTTTACACAATCTGTTTTCCAAGAGTAGCTGCTTTTCTCATTTTGTGATTTAGACTGTTTACTTGAATTTTTTAAATTTTCTATGTAGTTTTTTTTAAGCCTTTCACTACATTTTCTATTAAACTATCAAAGCTGTTTTTAATAGCTTTGAAGCACAAATGTCACATTCTAAATCATTTTTCAGTGGACATATAATGTCTACAAGTAAGTTTATATGTCCAGTGTATGTATGTGATTGTTTTGTGAATGTCTATAACAAGAAATGGTGTATGTTTCCTAATCCATTCAACTATTCCAAAAGCATATGTTCTAGCTTTAATTTCCATTGTTTAATAAGATACTTTATTATGCTTAAAAAATGAGTCTGCATTCCTCTCATTTAACAGATTTTTATGCATGTTGCATTACAAATATCAGAGAGGATCAAACTGACTAGAAAATTTTTTAAACATAAAACATGTGACTTTCTACCATTACTGAAAATGTGGGACATTTGGAAAGCATGCAAAATGCATTTTGGATTTTTGTGGGTGTGTTTTTTCTTGACTAGAGCTTTTGATGGCAATATTCCTGGACGCACGACATTAATAGTCATGTTGATTGTTCAAAATAAATCATGCCAACTGTTAGTTCTTTTTAAACTGAAGTAACTTCTCTTTACTGATAAGCATGTTATTGTTTCAGTCTTTAAAAAGTAGTTTTCAAATTATAATGCTCAGTTGCAAAGCTAGAAGTAAACCAAAAATAAAATAAAGCTTCACTAATTGATACTTTTCTAAACCATCATAATATCAGAGAATTTATATTGGCAAAAATACAGTCACTGATAGTATAGTAGGATTTCTTACTACAAATACTTAATTACTCTTTGAAGTATCTTGTTGATGAGTACACTATCAGTAATTTAAACTAGTCTAGATTTGCAAAAATAATAGAACATAATATTAATTGAAGTAATTTTTTTTATTCTGTTCTTTTGTTTCTTTAAAAATACACAGAATTGACCAGTATGTTTTCCTGGTTTCAGTCTTCGAAATGCTGATTTTTCAGTGGCACATTGAGAAAAGCTCTGTTTGTGCTGGTTGCTATTAAATCTATAAGGAAAGTTATAAGGAAACTTTGAAAGTTATAAGAAATTGGAGTATATATCTACATTTCTCTAGAGAGCTGGGCTGAAAATTTTTATCAGGGCAAATAGATATACACATGTATGTATGGAAGTCACCGTTAAGGTAATGCATCTGCAACTTCTGCATGTACGCCTCTTCTAGTTCCTACTGTCAGTAACAGTCTGTACTAGACCTTAGTGAATGCCACTATTCCTTCAGGAATTTGTTCAGCCCAGCTGCTGTGTCCCGTGAGCTGCTGGCCCTGCTCAGAGGATGGAGCCTGTTGGCACTGACACTGCAGAGGAGGGTGCCCACAACACAACTCCTGTGAGGGCAGTGCCTGAGCAGATTCCTGCTGCAAAACAGAGCAGCCTGAGGGAGAATTGCAATTGGGAACTGTAGGGAAGAGGTCAAACAAAGACAAGTCAGTTGAAAAAGATAATTTTGGAAAAAAGTGCAAACCTGCATCCTATAGAAGAAGTCAAAGTAAGAATTTTTTTGTTTTTCATAAATATATGGGTATATTTTTGAAAAACGAATCATAAGTTACTTTTAGATAGCTTTAATGTACTAGGATAAAAACAGACCTTGGGAAATCATGGCCTTTGTATGTTTCTAAAATTTTTTAATATAGATTTTTTTTTTATTTTATTTATGTTGCTTGCATTATAGTAGCTGAAATATTAAAGACCATATTTAAGTACTGTTATTGAAAGTAACATCTCCTAATTATTCTGTGAACTGAATTTGATAAAATTATTTTCCAAATTGAGTCAATATCTTTTAAAAAGTTACAAAACACCTAAAGCTTTGTTCTGCAACATATTAAATGCAAGCCTAAATTAAAAATTGTAAGTACTTCCATGGAAATCAGTTGAACTATCTTTCATTTCTGCCTCTGCTGTTAGTCAGGGAGCAGTAAGATAGTTTTTTGGTTTTATGTTGAAAATTGGCAAGGATTTTCTGTTGGATCCATCCCTTAAGTAAAGCAGGGGGAGACCTGAAATTGAGCATGGAAATGCTATTGAAACTTGTTGCTTAAAATTTGCTCTCAATTGAGAATTTTTAGAGCAAAGACTTCAGAATTGCCTGTTAATATGATCCAGTATTTGTTTGAGGTTTATCAAGGTTTACAAAGAATATAGTTTTAATTTCCATGTACCTGCAAAAGAGAATCCAACAAAATTATTTTCCAAATTGAGTCTTTGCAGTGTGGGGGTTTTTTAAGTGCCTGTATTTTCCAGTCAGTTTGTTCTTTTATGTCAAGTTGAAAATTATCTTTTTCTTAACTGTGATGTATATTCCAAGGTCTTTTTGGAATAATAATACTACAAGTAGAGTGAAATAGGAGTAAATTTTGAAATTTGTATTTATGACCAAGCTACATAATTTGCAGAGATAAATCAGTATTCGTGATCTTTTCAGGAAAAGATTGAAAACAAAGACTTCACAGGTAACAGGAAATGGTGGAAAGAGGTGGTTTTTTTACATAGTTTTGTATTTGTATGGCAAATTGATAATAGCATAAAATTATTTATTTGGTGACTTTCTAAAATAATTCTTAAATTTATTTTTACAAATTGAGAAGGTTTCCTTAATCTAAACATAAATAACCACCTATTCAAGTGGCTTTTTGATTTAATTCTGGAATTGCCCTTGTCTCTGTAGATTTAAGTGCAGGAGTTTTTCAGGGTTTTGTTTCTTTTTTGTGTTCCATGGGAAGTGCAGTATGTGCAAGTCAAAATGCTGCATTACCCTTAAATATTCCACATTATTTTAGTAGCACTTAATGCAAGTATCCAATTTTTTTTTTATTTATCTCAGCGGAAATTACAATCTTATGCAACAGTGAGCCTGAAGTATAGTGTAGGCAATTCATACATGACAACATAATGTAGGCATAGTGTAGGTGATTGGAATGTTGTGTCTGGGTTTTGTTTGATAGAAAATAAGAAGTGATAAACTTAATTCTCTTTAAAGAATTCTATTCTGACCTAATGCCATATTTTCTTATATAGGTATTTTCCCCAGCATTTGCTTGAATACTCTGTTATGACTTTTGTTGTTAACAGTATGTATCAAGCACTACACAAGTAGGTTTACCACTATATATGCTATTTTTTTGTTAATATTTCTGAAATTATGGTATTAGAGGCATGGCAAATAGTAAGGGAGGTAAAAAGTTGTTACCGTTATTGAAACTTAGCTACAGTTCAGGGTGCAGTAACAATAACCTTATGTTTAAGCTCGAGGTCTAGAGCTAAAACTATAAGGAAAGATCTCACAAGAAATTACAGCAGATGTCCTGGTTATTTAGTTTGAAAAACAGCTAGTAAGATAGATTTTTTTTCATATTCACATTAATTCACCCACCAAGACTATGTTAAATCCAGACCTCTTCCAGATTTAGACTTTGTTGTTGATTCAACTAAACAATTTACAAGACTTTGTAAACATGCCTTGCTAGATTTGTCTTTCACGGCTTAAATTACACAGATCAGTTCTCAGAGATGCCCATTTTAGCTTAAAATATGGTGAGGAATTGAAGTACTAGTTAAACTTTAGGGAGCTAAAGATAAAGAGAAAAATAACTTTTTATTATTAGAATGTTGCTAGTTAATTTTTGTAGGGTCGTTCCTGGTAATTTAGTGAAGCTCAGTAATGCATTTTAATCTTCAGAAACAATCTCAAATAGATTTTTAATATTTTTTAAACCATAACACAACTTTAACATCAGCTGAAATTTTCTCTTGGTTTCCTAAAAAAACTCAGAATTTACAACCAAAACTTACAGAAATGTGCAGTTAATAGCATCATTTAATTAGTGTTACTTTGATAGACTTTTAGTTAATAAACTGTACTAGTTAAAATTTAGGAGAAATTTCACTTAAAAACAACCCCCCCATACCCTTAATTGTCATTTTAACTAATTGTAATCTAATCTGGCGTAGCATACTATATTAAATTGATCATTGCCTTTTCTGCTGTGCGATATTACACTCTTCATCTTTCTCATTCATTTTGCATGCATCTGCTCACTTCTGTACAGCCACTGTAGAGGCAATTGAGGCTGAAAAAGGTATGATCAGAGTCTTTGCCCTTGGCAGAGATCTGTGGTGTCTGGGAGGGAATTCAAAAGTACTCTGTGTGGGTGTGTTTTATTTTCAACTTGCACAAGCAGAGATGAATCAACTGCATTGATTCATCCCTTTTACATGTAACATTCATTTCTGGCTTTAGGATGATGATTATCTTTAATATTTTAGGGAAATTCTTGGGGGTTTTTTGATCTCTTTTTGTTTGTTTTTTTATACAAAATATGCAGTAGGTTTTTGTATAGTAGCATGTTGTGATACGTGGTGTTGTCTTGAAGTCCTTAAAAATGGTAGTGTTTAGTGGTTTTTTTCTGCATTCAACTGCAAGGTTTTGTTTGATTGTGGGGAGGGGATGTTATATGTGGAAGGAGGGTTGTTTATGCATGCCTTTTCTCATAAAGTCTATTTAATGGCTTTGAACATATCTTTTTTAACTTTCCGTGGCACATCTGGTAGTGCAAGATGTATAAATATGTTTTTTTCTATAGATTTCGAATATAATTTGTTGATCAAATTTATTTCCAGTGTATGTCCCAGACTGCCAGTATAAGACTTATTAAATTCCATGGATTATCAGTGCTTCTGTGCTAAATAAGTTGTATATATGTTATATACATCTTCTGTTAGTAGTATTGAGCAAAATGCCACCAAATTATTTGGTGTTCAGAGTATTCAGCTTCAGATTGTGTGTTTTCAGAGAGACTGTAGTTCCCTCTTGCTCAGTATTCAATGAAGTGAATGACAAACAGCATAGCAGTTGAGAGAGCTGCCTTTGGGGTTTTTCAGATTTAGTTGCAAAGCACCATTTAATGACTCTATTCTTTGTTTTTTTAATTAAGGAAGTCAGATCTCCAAAAATATAAACAAGTGCCATATTCTGTTCTCACACACACCTGCAAGAGGTCCTGTTGTTGTGAGTGGAAAGCTGTATTTAAATCTCCAAAGAATTATTTCATCCCAAAGACTTCTGTTTTATTATGTGGTCAGCCATTTTCAAGTGTAAAGTCAACTACAGACCTCATTCATTAAAATAATCAGTAGCAAAATAATATCTATTTTCTATACTTATTTTAAATACATTTGTATTTAAATGATACCATTGTTGAACCACAGTGCTAATTTGGTGATTGTGGTTGTGTCCATTTCCATCATCCACATGATTAGCACAGTGTGAACCACATCCTGCAGTTTTGCCTGCATGAAAACTACAGGATCAGGCCATCAGTGCGTGTGCAGGATGTAAATCTGCTACTACTTTTGTAACCCTTTGCTGCTTTGCCTCCACTGCACTTGCTGTGCTGCTTAGATCTTACTGACATTGCCCCAGAGAGAAGGGGGATGTTAAGATAAGCCCAATGTGCTGGGCAGCAAAAGCAGTTGGCGTTGATAGCTGGCCCCGCCAGGGACACGCAGAAGCAATCAAGGGAGCTTAAACCCCTTGATTCCTACTTGCAGAATACTTGCCATACTTTGTTCTTTTTGTAACAAACGAAAATCATGATTGCCGTGAGCAGTTCAGGAAAGCAGGTTAGAGAAGCTTTTAGTAATACAGTTGCAGAGCCATAAGTTTCTTTGGCTGATTTCTTACCCGTTTTTAAACATCATTTGTTAGAAAAAGTATATGCTTTCAACTTATTTTTCCATTACTGACATATCAAATTTGCATTTTGTTAAGCAATACGAGGATTCTCTCCGCAACATAAAATCTGCAGTTTTGAAGAAGCAAAAGGTTTGGATAGGATCAATGAGAGAATGCCACCAAGAAAAGATGCTCTTCAGCAAGATGGTATTAATACTATAAACACAACAAATGCCAATGGAAACAATGGAACTGGCAACAACAATGCACAGTGACCACGTCAGCTTCTGGTTTACTCACTCATGTCTTGCCTGAGAATTCCTAGATTACTGCTTTTTGATGTGACAACAAATGAAATAGGGGGATCACTTGAAGTGACTACTTAATACGAGGTGAAAAACCATCTGACTTGATCCCACTGAAGAGAGACCATCATGCTTTTGAGACAACAGCCCCTCTCTTACACGGTGACCCAACCTCCTGGGAGCGTGCCTCACCTCTGTACACAAATGTCCATCACTGGCTGCTGGAGCTTCAGAAGAGATCTGGCGAAAGAATCGGGCTGTTCTCACTAAAGCACACCTAGACTAGCATCTTATGCTTATCGTTGTCAACACTTTTAAGTTTACAAATGGGATTTTTCTTTCAGTAGAGGTAGTTTGTTTGTTTGTTTTTTTAAATCAGACTTTCAAATACAACCCTAAGAGCTAACTATTTATTAATGGACATCAGTTTCATGAAATGTCTTTAAAATTATAGATTAGAATGGTCTTAAAATATCTGAGGCTGCAAAAACTGTATTTTAAATACACAGAAAAAATGCCAAAAAAAATCTCAGTTGGTCATTCTGTAAAATGCTGACCTCAGGTTTACTCCTTAGATGTTGCTAATTCTATATTGTATTCACTGTATTTTTTAGTTACAGCTTATCAGAAGATTTCTATGTAGGAATGTTTATTACTTGAACACAGATTTAAAAAAATATTTAATTTAGAAACTTTTTTGCCCAGCTTTTTCAAGACTCTTCCCCACCTTGAATTTAAAAAAAAAATTATATATACTAATTTTAAAAGTAAAAAAAAAAAATGGAAGTGTTAATTTTAAGGTACTTTTAATTGAACTTTGTACATTGTTTAAGTAAATTTTGATTCATATCAAGTCTGTAAAGCTTGGCATTGTATTTTGTGTATGCATGTTTTCATTTTGCAAATATTTAATATATAGACCTATGATGTACATCTATAGGTTACCTAGATGTTATGGGTACTTTTAGTTTATTGTGAGTATTATGGTTGCATAAATAGCTAATAATCACTGGGCTGAATAGCTGCAAGCTTTTTATTATTTTTAAATCTGTAAAGGAAACTGAAACTGTATTGGACATACTTTTTGTTTAAGCAAAGCAGTGCGTAAGCAATTGCTCTGTTCAACTGCTAAGGCATTAGTGAAAGTGTAAACTTGAGACTGCATGTATTTTGGTATCTACAGGACTGCTTGGTTAAAATAAAAATTGAAGCCCTGTGCTAATTTGTTCACAAATAATGGACTGTACTGATTGCCAGTGTACTTTGTTATATATTTTGACATTTGCTACATGTTCTTCTCATCCCCTGGAACACGACTTGAAACTTATGTCACTAGAGTTCATCTCCCTTTTTTTTTTTTTCTTGGTTTGCCATAAACTACAATCTGTACATACCCCTAAGTTGGAAATTTTATGCATGTTCTGAACTATTCAAGTATTTTATAAACAGTAGCACACAATAAATTTTGTGCATGGGCTGCGGCTCCTATCATTGTGTATTGGTTTTATTTGGCATATATAGGTCTGACCTTGAAAATTGTTGAGATATAGTCTGCAATATTTATTTGAAAAAATAGCATAAAAGGTCAGACTTAGCTTGCAGAAAATTAGTTGAATGTAAACATTATTTAATTTAAACTGTATTCCTGCTTCTTTTTTTTTGCTTTTGGGTTCTCTCTGATAGATACTTTGTGTCTGCTAAGCCAGATGTCCACTGTTGGTTTGTACAAACTTGTCAGAGCAGGGTTAGTTGATTCTAGAAAGGCTCTTAGGCATAGCTGTGTTTTGTGTGTTGGTTTGAACTAAACATTCAACACTATTGAAGTGTGTTGGGGCAGCTTTTCGGGCAGAGGGGAGAACAGTTTGTCTTGACAGTTGGTACAGATACATTAATTAGTCTTTTTGGCATATTCTTTTTAAAAGAAGGACAAGTTGCTCATCAGGATGCAAATTAAGATAAAAGGTAAAAATAAGTGGCACACTGTTGTTAAGGGAGTTTTAATGTTTGATTTTACTTTATTGCAGATGCATTCTAATTGGAGGCTCTTCTCAAAGTTTGAGTGCAGAAGATAAAGTTAAAAATGGTAAGTTTTTTGGCTTTTTTTATCAAGTGCTCCCATACACACGTACCTGTGAGCTGTGCAGTCTGCATATGATGTCATATTAGAGCAGAACAAAAACCTGTTGCTAAGTAGGACTGAAATTTTACATGATGAACATGACGATGGTACCGTTCTCCTTCTGAGCACTAGTGGAAAATGTCTCAACCTCTCTAGACATTATTTTTCATTGACACTCAGATCTTGGTTGTGATGAGTAATCTGACTGGCTGGAGTTGTGTATGTGAAGAAAATACAAATACAGTCTTTGTCTGGAAAATCTTCATTGTAATTGGAGAGAATTGGTTCTCATACTTGTGTGGCAGTAAGTGCCCGGGTGCAATGATGTTCGCTTCCCTAAGGATTCCCTCGCAGTATCCGTTTTGCTGCTTTAAGGATTCCCTCACAGCATCCAATATCTGTAGTAGTTTTTGCCAGATACGAAGGCAGATCTGCAGTAATGGCAAATTTTTGGGGCAGTTGTTGGCCTGATTTCTCATGCTGTGTGTCTCCTGTCCCCCTTTAGGCAAGTAGTCAGGTAACAGGGTTGTGTCTGTGGTTGTTGTTTGGAAAGAAGGCACTCATTTTTTTGCTACTGTGTTTCTGAAAGGTGGAGTCTGGAGCTGTCTCTAATTCTTGTATTGTTTGGGAGAAGAAATTATATCCTTCCTCCCAGAAAACTGTAAGTAGTTTGCATTGCTCATTTTATGCTTTCAGCATTTTAAGGAGGGGAAAAAAAAAAAAAGAAGTCATCTCTATGCCCTTAGTCTGTTCTTGGGTAGGGAACAGAGAAGCCTTGGAAATAGCTTTGACAGCCAAGGGACACAGGTGGCGAAAGCTGTGAGAGGCATGGCTGGTTCGTGGTTTGAGCTGGAGTGGTCAGCGCTTCCCTGCCCCACCTGGGCTCAGCGGGCACCATCTGGGTCACTTCTTCCCTGACCTGATGGGTGGCACTGTCACATCTGGGATGCTCTTACCTGTAGGGCAGTGGCAGCGAGGAGTATTCAGAGGTGGGCTGGGGTCTCTCACTGCTCTGAGGAGTGTACACGTGTGTTGGTGACACTGAGCAGCAGAAGTACAGATTGTGTTGGGTCAGATTTTGGGGAGTTATTTTCCAGCAGACACTTGTGCTGTCAGGGAACTTGTGCTGGCACTTGCTGATCCAAACGTGGAAGAGCAGCGTATTTCACAACCTACCTGTATCTAGTTTAATGGCAAACCCATCGTCACCTCCCAGCATTGTGGTGTGAAACATGAGCTCTCCTTTCAGAGCTTATTAAACCCAATTGTGAAATGGAAAATTTGCTCTAGTGGTATCTCTTGAATTGTGAAGATTGGCCTCTCTTGCAAAAAGACAAATGGTTGGGATTGGGGCTGTTTTTCTCTTAGAAAGAGGTAAGTCTCTTCTGGTCTGAGTCTGAACACTTTTGAGAGGAAGTGTCATAAAGAGCTTGCTTTTTTTCTAACGTTTGATCTGAAAACACCATTATGTTACATAGAAAATGAAGGCTATTTCAGAGGCAGGATAGACAGTGTCTGTTCATTCTTTCCTTGCCTATTTTTTGCTACACTTTTATTATCAACCATTCAGTTCTTGCCACCAATTTAACAACTCTTTGTTACTAGCATGTAATGAGAACCTTTTTGCCATAAAAGAGGGCAGTGTTATCAGAACATAGAACCCCATTCATCTGTTCATTTTCTTGTGGTAGTGTGTATAAGCCAGATTTATTGATACTGTGCTTTGAATGACAACTGAAGTGGTGGGGATTTTTTCAGTCACATAAAAAGATAAAGATGCACTAATATGCTTTAATTATTGAAGAGTAAGCTGCTTCACTTGTAAGGATTTTGCTCAAGAACAAAGAAACAAGAACCAAAGCTTATGAGAATCTTGGTCAAGCTTGGAAAGCCACTGAAAGATATCTATTACATACACACACATGTATATCTATCTCATTCAATACGTGCACAAAGGATGACAAAGTAATGCAGAATAGAATGTATTTTAGTCTCTCCAAATCAACTTCTATCTATTTCATATTTGAAATAATTAATTTTAAGCTGAACAGAATTTCTCAGTTTAGTATCAGAAAAAGTCTAAAGTCCGATTTAGGTTCACTGATGTAAGTGAAATACCTAAGCCTCTTTTGTATGTACAGTTGATAAACTGTTGTTGTTTTGCAGAAACCTCTATGAATGTGCTGTGCAGTGGCAAGTTTGCCATATTGGAACCGGCTCCACCAGCCCTAGTGATTTTTGTCTGAGATATACTAGAAATAGGGTTTTGCTGTTTGTGTGAGGGTATCCTGTAATACAATTGTTATTTGTTAAAGCATTGCTTAGAAATGTTAAGGAATACACTACTAGCTGTTGGACTTGAATTTGTTATATTTATGGCTGGAGACAGATTCACTGTGGCTTTCTACAAAAATCCAAATATGCTGTTCAAAGTTGTTCTCTTTAAACCCTTTGAAAACATCCACATAGTCATTTATATTATCTAGGTCACAACTGCCTTCACTTTGGATTTCATGTTGGTAGCATTTAGCTACAGGGTTTTTCACTGCTCAGCCATTTGCTGTATAACCCACTCCTTTACGAGGAGAGACTTCAGAATCAGATCTGAGATGATTTCTCCTTTGCATTGCTGCCTTAAGCATAATGGTAACTAACCACTAATGTAAGAAATTTAATAGGGGAGTACAGTCAGATTTTGCCAAGGTCCTTAAACTGTCAGCGTATTGTGACTCAAACTGAGTATTTGCATGATTTTCAACATTATGATGGAAAGGCATTAAAAGGGGAGGGGTGTGTAAAATGCTTCACATCACAGCCTCAGGCTTTTTTTTGTCATCCACAGTAAGACCAGCAGTTAAGTTTAGGTATTTCGGGGAACTTCTTGAGTGCTGGAGATTCATTTGGCTGAGATAGCTTACTCATGCAAGAGTCCAGTAGATGGGAGGCGGTTTTGTCTGGGTCAAAAAGACTAAGGCTTAGGGTCTAATAGACAAGATATATCTTTTATTATACAATAAAGAATATTATCTGCTGTAAATTAAGGCATTGTAAGTGCAACAAGCTTATTGAATCATTAAGAAGGCATATTTGATTATGCAAAGTTTAAAATTATTCATTTACAAGGATAGTTAGTGTCTACATAAAGCATGTTTCATGTCCTTCGGTTTGTTTCAAAAAAAAAAAAAAAAACAACACCAAAAAACCAGATAATCCTCTTCTACTGCCCAACAATTGCCAGCAGCAACCGCCGGTAATCACCGCTTGTATCACTTGCTATCATTGTAGCCAAAGTCTTCTGATACATCTGTGTGAACATCTGTTTAATTTGCACAAGGTCAATCTGTGCAAAGACAAAAAAAAGCAGAAAACTCAACCACAGTGTATGATTTAAATCCTAGACACTCACCCTGCATCTCCTCCCTTGTGGACTAGAGGACACATGCCAAGGGTGAGATGTTCAACTGATTAACCCCGTGCAGTGTACAAGCCAGCTGGTCCCTCCAAGGACAGAGGAGCAGCTCCCAAAGCAGAGTCCAGCAGTTGTTCTGTGCTTCGTTAGCACCGTGCTGTCCTAACTCTGAACAGCTGAACCTCTGACCTGGAGGTGCTCACTTACTACATGGACAGGCAACCACAGTTAAGAAGGAAAACAAGCAGTAGCCAGAGCTAATTAAATGAAAGCTGGCTTTAAAACTAATTAAGAGATTCATCTAAATGTGAGCCCCATAAAAGCTTCACTGCAGTACATGATTTCACAGCTGTGAAAGGAGGACCATGTGACAAGCTGGTTTGGGTAGGTGGCTTTCTGCTGCAAGTGACTTGTACACGGGAGAAAGTTTCTTACCTCACTGCGAGTGACCACAATTCTGATGAGGGTAGAATCGTCTGTGCCAGCTCCTTTCATAGAATGATAAAGTCTTTCTGCAAAAAAGGCTGGGCGATTTAAAGCACATTGCACTGCAACAAAGTATATTTTTAGGATTAGTTCCAGTATTGTATCCTGTGTAGCGATACCTGGCAGGATCAACTGGGGATTTGTGCTGTAGACATCTAGAAGTAGGTCTGGGTGAAGAACCAGTCACTGTAGATTATAGCTTATTTTCAAATTACCAAATTAGTTATTTCTTCACACAAAAACTTACTAACTAGCAGTTAACTTCTCTGGAAGTTATTTTCAAAGCTGTCTGAAATGTTAATTCTCAAATAGGTAATTCAAAAAGAGTTCTCAGGTAGCTGGTCCTGGGACATAAGGTATTTTACTCATGTTCCACTGCTAGAATCCACTAAGAAAAGTACAAATGTAGAAGTTTCTCCCTCTAGTAGTTACAGAATGGATCTTGTTTCAGATTATTCAAACTCAGAGACAAGCCATTATTCTTTCTCAAGCCTGAACTTTTCCCATTAAACTCTTGAGTAGAATATTCTCTGGGAAGTTTTTCTTATCCGTTATGGCTACAGAAATGCTGTCGTTTTGGCAAGCACTGACAGGACTGGTGTCTTCAAATTTACCACTAAATACTGATTCTCACTGTCAGTTAATTGTGCTGAATTGTGTCGAATTGCTTTACTATAACAAGTCAGCAGGAAAAAGTAAATTCAAAACAGCTCTTCTATTTTGCCAAGGTTTTCCTTATCAATAGCTGAGCTTTTGGGGGGTAGATGGTGGTGGGGAAGAGAAGTAGAAAGGGAACTGTGTCTTAAGTAGGTTCATGTTGGTCCTGAGGTCATCTGTGTGGGTGGCTCAGCTGTCTCTGCTGAGATGCCCACACCCAGAGTCACGGCTCTGTTACACTGGGAATCACTCATTCTGCAGAACTCTGAAATACACAGCTACAAGCACGAACCAGTAGCCCCTGGTTCTGTGCAGTTGCCTGCCCTCCGGAGAGTAACAAGTACTTTCTATGTGGCCTTTTCTTATTTCAAACTGACTTGTTCATGCTGGATGCTTATTTTGTTCAATTAAGTGTAAAATGAGTAATTTGAATAATTGAAGTTACTTTTGTCCTAGCAGAGTCTCAGATTGTGTGATCATTTGCCATATGGTCAGTCTTGAATTGGATTTTTCTTTGGTTACATTTAGAAGGTTTAATTCTTAAGGGATAAGGGAAGAGAAGGACATATCACTTACCAATAGTTTTCAAACCACGTTCCACATTCCCAGAAAACTCTCGGTCAATGCTGCTTAATAAATCACGATTAGCAATCTACAAATGAATGAGATTAATATGTGAATGATAAAATGCAGTAACAACTGGAACTTTAATTTAAAATACATTGACCAAGCTCATTTGAAATCAGTGAAGAACTCCTACCCTGGAGTATGCCTCAACTGTTGCTTTCAGCTGGGGAAAACTTCTGCTTGCCAGAACCATATTAAAGCAAGATTCATCAGTCCCAAGTCTTCCTTCACCTGCTTGGTACAGACGCTGAGCATCTTCTTGAGCTTTCTGATAATCCACAGTTTGATTCTCATCCCGATTACCCTTAAAGCAAAGACAACAGATTTCAAATGAAATTTCACAGAGAAGGCTATGCTTTAACTGTGTAGACCCCAAGCATGTATCTTGCAAGCTTGAAGCAGAAAGAGAAATAGCAGTTTCTTTAAAACTTCTCTTTGGTTTAATATTGGTTTAACAGTCCTTATAGGAAACAAATACAAAA